CCGAGTAGCTGGGACTACAGGCACCCACCACCTCGCCTGGCTAGTTTTTTGTATTTTTTAGTAGAGACGGGGTTTCACCGTGTTAGCCAGGATGGTCTCGATCTCCTGACCTCGTGATTCACCCATCTCGGCCTCCCAAAGTGCTGGGATTACAGGCTTGAGCCACCGCGCCCGGCCTAATAAATCGTTTATAGTATTTTCTTAAAGAGACTTCCTCTACTGCCAGATATCTTGAATAACCTCCTGGTCAGTCATCTAGAAGCAATTGTTCACATAACTGATGAGCTTGGCTTCCACTTTGGGAATAGAACTACCTTTTTCTATACTTGCTTGCACTTTTGCTTTAATGTCTTCTACAGAACTAGGTCCCTTTGGTGTTTCAGGAGATTTTTGCTGTTTTTTGAAGGATTCTTGTCCATTTGATCTTGGTGTTGATGGTGGTTTTGAGTCTTTCCCATTCTGATTTGACTTTTGTGCATTTTTGACTGGAGTATCTCATATAGATTTCTTCACTGGTGCTTTTTCTTCAGTTTCCTCATCATCAAAATCATCACCATCATCATCTTCATCAGTAGCAAGTTTTACTTTTTTCTGTGGAAGCTTGCTACCACCTCCCGGGGCAAACTGCTTTCCAGATATACTTAAGAGTTTCACATCCTCCTTCTCTTCATCTTCTGACTCTGCATCTTCCTCCACAGCTACTAAGTGGTGTCCACTAATATGCACTGGCCCTGAACCACACTTCAACTGTAAGACCACTGGTGGTGTTATTTCAAAGCCCCCAAGGGAAACCGTTGGCTGTACAGACATTTTCAAAGTTGCCAGTGTTACTGTAATTGGACTGCCTTCATAATTCATTGCCTCTGCTTCAACAGTGTCCCATTCATCCGTTGCTCCAGCCCCTAAACTGATTGCTCTTAAAGATAACTGGTGCTCATTTTCATTATTATCCACCTTAAAGTGATCACCTTTGTTGGCCTTTAGTTCACAACTGAAAAGATAGTTCTGGGGTCTCAGAGTCCTCATCTCCACATCCACGAATCTTCCATCAGGTGGTGGCACGCACTTAGGTGGGAGAGAAGGCGGATGGAGATAAACAACCACTGCTCTAGAGAACAGCTGCACAGGATGGAACCACACCAGGGCGATCTCAGCTCACTTTAACTTCTACCTCTTGGTTTCAAGCAATTCTCATGCCTCAGCCTCCTAAGTAGCTGGGATTACAGGCATGTGCCACCATGCCCACCTAATTTTTTTTTTTTTTTTTAGTAGAGGTTGACCAGGCTGGTCTCAAACTCCTGACCTCAAGTGATCCAGCCACCTCAGCCTTCCAAAGCACTGGGATTACGTACATGAGCCACTGTGCCCAGCTGAGCTTCTTAGATTTTTATATTTATGTATTTCATCAATGTTGGGTAGTTTTCAACTATTATTTCTTCAAATATTCTCTCTCCCCCATTTTCTCTCCCTTCCTCTTCTGGGATTCTCACAGTGCATATGTTGGTCCACTTGTGGCGTCCCATGGGTCCCTTAGGCTCTGTTCACTTTTCTTCAGTCTTTTTTCTTTCTGTTCCTCTATATTAATTACCTTATCTTCTGTGTTTGCCATACTTTTGTCTTTCCATGTTTTATGATGGATAGTTTTTCCTCTCAGTGTTTTAGTTCACTGATTTTCTCATTGGCTTAATCTATTTATTAAGAAGAGCATAGACCTATTCATTGAGTTTTTAATTTTAGTTATTGTATTTTTAGACATAAAATTTATATTTTGTCTTCTTTTTAAATCTCCTGAGTTACTTTTCACGCTTTAAATTAACTATTGAAATTTTCAAGGTTGGCTTTTATCTCCTTGAACACAGTAAGCATTGTTATTTTATAGCGTTTCTGGTAGTTCTAATATCCAAAGTCCTCTTGTTTAGTTCTGTGGTCTGTTATTTTTATTGATTCTCATTCATAGCTTTTTGCTTCCCTGTGTATATGGTGATCTTTGACTGTATGCTAAAATTTTATTTGTAGAACTAATCTAAGGCCAGGGATAATAATATCCTCCTTTATATGCTTTTTCCAAGTAAAGAAATTATATTAAGGTGTCCTGAACAATCTTAATATAATTTCGAGATTTGAGTTTTCCTGAGCCATTCAAAAGTTAAAAAGCCTAGCCACAAAGTCTTACAGTGACTGAATTTCTTTCCATTTACTCTTATCCCTTGAGCTCCTAGTCTGAAGCCAGAGTTGGTGTCATCAATGTCTGTACTCTAGTTGGGCCCAGAATTCTGACTTCTATCTCCCTAGTTTTGAGAGGCTCCCAAAAGCTCCAGTCAGGTTCTCAGCTGCCTCTTCTGAACTGAGAAATACACTCAGGGCCAAAGCAGCTTTTAGTATGGAAATTTAAATTTCTGCTTCCCATCCTTTCCAAATCTACATCTGGTATTTCCTATGTTAGTTATTTGATACTTTTAATGAGATGTTTTTCATATTTTCTGAATTTTTATTTGTCCTCATATAAAAGATTATTTCAAATTTCTTTGCTCATCAAGGAAAGTAGAGAATCCTCTGAAGATTTGTTATAGCCATTTATGTCTTAAAGATTTTATCTGAATTTTTAAGTTTAATATAAAGTATTAAACTTCTAGGTATTCTCATCAAGGAAATACTGACCCAGGGTAAGAAATAAGAAGTGTTAGGAGAGAAGAAGGGAGAATTAGGTGGCCAGAGTCTGTGGTAGAGACAGCACCCTCAAGAAATTCCCAGACAGAGAAAAGAGACAACTTTTGACAGGGTTTTCAAATCATTATAGTTGCCTCTGGGAAGTAGGAAGCCGCATATATTTCCTTCATACTTCACAGAAAGTAGTAGCAAGATCAAAGAGAGAGTCTGTGCTTTCTTTCTGGCGATTACGGTGAGGTTGAGGAAACGAGATACCGAGAAAGAGTGAGGTCCACATATAGACCATAAGAGGCAAGAGACCCAGAAGTGGGGCTTGTCTGGGCTAACTTGGTCAGCCTCTTCAATCAAATGTGACCCTAGCAGTTATTATATTATCTGGGTGATGACCAGGGGAGGATTGTTAGACCCTGTCCTGATCCAGACACTAAATTTTATCATGAAATAAAGCACACTAATGGTCGCATGTGGGGAAAAGGGGCAGAAATCTCAGCACTACTTCCGTCATTAAAAATGGGAGGGGGCACCTGGATTTGAACCAGGGACCTCTTGATCTGCAGTCAAATGCTCTACCCCTGAGCTATACCCCCAGGCCTGGTTCTATGTTTTAATTTCACCTTTACAACTGTGCAGCTGATGGCTGTTTCTGGACTCACAGTCATGTTCCTGAGGGGTGTGGGGAGCCTGCCCATGAAAGCCAGGCCCTCACTGCCATCACTCACTCCCTGGTCTACCTGTGAACACCTACTGACCAGATTTCATGTGCCAGGCATATCCTTACCTCTGCCACCCCTATTCCATCTGCCCTGCAGTGGGCAGTCACTGGCTGTCCCAGCTTAACAGAGAAGCCTGGTTTCCCTCCTGCCTTCCTGCACTAGGGTGCTGGGGAGTGGAGAAGTCTCTGCATGGATAGACTAGCAGGTGTGAAATGAGACCTGGCCACAACCTCAAACCCTGAGACACAAGATGACCTATTGTCCCCCTTTCTACTGCGTGAGTCAGATTGTGGGGTTGATCCCCCACATTAGGCTAAATATTGTGGAGAAGTAAAGTGAACAGCTTCAGAATCCTTTTCAAGAAGAAAATTGATTGGGGTGCTGGGGAAACACTGTGGTCAGCAGCTGTGAGCCATGCAAGGTATGGAGGCTGGGTTTCAAGACTCATTTCAGAGGGCGGGTGGCTCTGCATGGGCAGCAAGAATAGGGAGACAGCAGGGGTGGGAGCTTCCTCCCATCCGAACAGCTGGGTCTTGCATGGTGGGTAGAGCCAAGAGAGACCCCACTACCACTGGTAGACAAGCCAAAAAAGGCTTTAACTCACCTATCAACCCTTCCCAATGCCTCACCCCATCCATCTTCTCTCCCATAGATACAGTCTCCAATAAAGTCCACGAAGCTCACAAGGACTTTGGGTAAGTAGTGAATTTGTCCAGAAATACTGCGGAGGGTCCCCAACACCCATGGGCTGCTTGTACCAAGTTTGCCTGTCTCTCTGAAGTAATGTCATATTTACTATGCTTTTTTGTTTTCTCAAGGCCACTTCAACATGCCAGAATTAGGCCGGGCGCGGTGGCTTAAACCTGTAATCCCAGCACTTTGGGAGGCCGAGGTGGGCAGATCACAAGGTCAGGAGATCGAGACCATCCTGGCTAACACAGTGGAACCCCGTCTCTACTAAAAAATACAAAAAACTAGCCGGGCGAGGTGACGGGCGCCTGTAGTCCCAGCTACTCGGGAGGCTGAGGCAGGAGAATGGCGTAAACCCGGGAGGCGGAGCTTGCAGTGAGCTAAGATCCGGCCACTGCACCCCAGCCTGGGAGACAGAGCAAGACTCCGTCTCAAAAAAAAAAAAAAAAAATGCCAGAATTGACCGTAGCCTCCCTGTGTTGGCCCAAGGTCGTGATATTTTCAGCCAGCCAGCTCTGCTGAAGGAGCTGAAACTGACCCCTTAGCTGAGTGTCCTGGGCCCCAACCCCTGCCTAGATGGAACCTCTCCCTCAACAGCCTTGCATGGGCACATTTCCCCTGGCAGTGAGGCCACTGGCTGACTCCTCCCCACACCTAAACCTGCAGCCCTCACTCTCCACTATGTCATCTCTTCCCACCCCTTATAACACTGAGTGGAGACTTATTGGAGTAACTCAGCCAGGAAATGGGCCTAAGGGCATGAAGTAGCCAAAGGTCTGTGCCTCAGGCTCTATGGGACAGGAGCAGGGAAGGAGCTAACATCAGCCCAGGCTGGGAAGACAAGGGAAGGTCACTTTTGTTAAAGGCCTTGTACCTTGATACATTTTGACTCACTACTACATTAAGTTTGGACATTTAGGTTATTTCCAATTATTTACTATTTGGAGGAGTGTTGTGATGAACAACAAATTTGTCAAAGGGTCTTGCTATTGATGCTCTGCCACGTCTCTGTTCAGCAGTGGCCAGATGTGTGCTGAGAAGTAAGGCAGGAACTAGAACAATTTACTTGAGTCCTGCCAGATAATATCTGCACATCATCACACTTGGCCCTGGACTTAGAGGACCTTTACCATTCAAAGAGGAGAGTGTAAGCCTGTTGGAGCTGCATATGCAGGACTGCAAAAACATGAGAGGCCAAGTAAACAGGGAGAGAGAATTGCCCCCGGCACTGGCAAAATATTAACAAATATAGGCCATTAATAAGCTCAATGAAGGCTGTTTCCACGAATCAGGTGAAAGGAAAGCTGGATTGGAATGGGAGCAAGGATGTGAAGTCGGTGAGAAGAGTTGATTGATTTGAGTGGTTTTTCAGGAAAACAATAGCAGAAAAACTGAGCAGGAACTGGAGGGCCATGGAATCAAGAGAAACTTTTAAAAGATGAATGATACGGCCGGGCGCGGTGGCTGAAGCCTGTAATCCCAGCACTTTGGGAGGCCGAGGCGGGTGGATCACGAGGTCAGGAGATCAAGACTATCCTGGCTAACATGGTGAAACCCCGTCTCTACTAAAAATACAAAAAACTAGCCTGGCGTGGTGGCGGGCGCCTGTAGTCTCAGCTACTTGGGAGGCTGAGGCAGGAGAATGGCGTGAACCCGGGAGGCGGAGCTTGCAGTGAGCTGAGATCACGCCACTGCACTCCAGCCTGGGAGCACAGCGAGACTCCGTCTCAAAAAAAAAAAAAGATGAATGATAGTAATGCATGTTATATGCTTGTGATAATAATACCGTAGAGAGGGAGCAAATGATACAGGAGAGTGAAGACATCATCATGGTGTAGTTCTTAAGGAAGCAAGGGGTGGAATTTCATTCACAAGTAATAGGTTGGCCTTGGGTAAGAATGGGAACCCTTCTTATAACAGAGGGAAAGGCAAATTATATGAATACAGATGGAGACT